CCAGAGGTCTCTTCCTCTCAGGCTTCCCAAATAGTGGACCCAACCAACCAGATGGCTTACGGAACCCGAAGGTTCATCACCGAATTAACCAAAGCCTTCCACCGGACCCTGTCCTGGGCCAACAAAATCCAGTTTCCTTCAACTCCTATCTCGGATAGATCCCGCCTGAGATTATCCTCCCATCTACGTCTAGGTCTCCCCAGCGGTCTCTTCCCTTCAGGTTTCCCAACCAGTACCCGGTGCACCCCTCTTGTCCCATCCATGCGCGCTACATGTCCCGCCCATTTCACTCTTCTCGACTTAATCACCCTGACAATACTGGGGGAGCAGTACAGATTTTTAAGCTCATCATTATGCAGTTTTCTCCATGCCCCATCGTCTTCCCTCTTAGGCCCAAATATCCTCCTCAACACCCGATTCTCAAACACCTGCAATCTGTGTTCCTCCCTCTGAGTGAGAGACCATGTTTCGCACCCATACAAAACAACAGGCAAACTGACACACAATACAGATGATAAACGTAATTAAAATTTAAAGCCCACTGGTAACTATATGTACTGCCTACTTTAACAATCAGTAACTCTGCAATTTGTACGAACGTGTTTCGTATGATTACCAGAATAAACAGTTATTATTCTCTTAAATAGCATTAACCATTTTATCTTTGTTATGGTTGTGTTTTTTTTTTCGGTAGAGACAGGATTTTTAAATATTGTTAAGACGAGCTTCAGCTTCAAAGGGTTCAAAATTAAAATTTCTAAGTTATTGATACACGTGTCTATATGGTATATATTCGACGAAAAAAAATATGAATGCCCTCGAGTGTCACTTGAATCTATTGATTTTGCAACATTATTAGAGTACAAACGGATAAGACGAAAAAACCGATGTTCATTTCCACATCTACAGGACAGGACAGAGAAATTCAAACTGCCACAGAAGTCTGATCGCCACAGTAATAAATGTACTAATCCCATTTTTTGATGCAACGGACTGAAAGCGTCTTCTTCAAATTCTGACGTGCCAAATGGAAAGAGAAAACTTCGTATTCCTACAGCAACTAAAGGAAGTGAAACATCCAAACGTCAAATATATTCTGCTCACGAGTAAGTGATGGCTTGGCAATCGCAGGAGAACTTCATAGTCCAGTGAGGTATAAAAACAGTTGACGATCTGAACGGAGCACACATCAGCTGATTCCAGCAACAGTACACTACCATCATGTACAGCAAGAACTCGGTGAGCATTACAGGTGTAATTTCCAAAATTGTACAAATATTAACACTACGAAACATTCTGTACAGGACAGAACAGTCAGTATATAAGGTTAAGCGTTATGTAATAACACCAGGACGGGCGTTTAGTGGGGAGGGCTGAGATAAAAACGCTGACCGCTCGAAAGTGACAAAATGTCGTTCTTCTTCTCGTTAGGCTACCACTAAACTACAATATTATTGCCCAGATTTCTATTCAGATTTAAAATTTAGAGCTATTACTGTGAAGTCATTTAAATAAAATGATCTGTTGATAACGGCTGTCTTCTGGGTTGTAGCCTCCATCATCAGGACGATGAGTCGCCCTGATGATGGAGGCAGCAAGCACCCCTGTAACGCTGGTATACTTCTACCAGACTACACGGTGCTACAACTCAGAAGACAGCCATCTTCATACTCGTTGCCGTGAAAACCCGTAATGTCAAAATGGTCTCTTCACTGAATAATTTATCTCATAGAATTCGTAATTCTGTTAACCTAAAATTCTTGATTCAGGAAGACTTGCGGTATCTTTGTTTCCTATCTTTCCTCTAAAAACTTCTGAACCAATGGATTATCCAAGAAACCTGCTCTTCATATCATGTCACTAGGAGCCAAAAATGTTTGGGACCGGCCATATTAATATTACTAAATCAGCGGCCATGTAAATTTCGAGAAGTGAGCGATACTCGATACTCTACAGGTTTCCCCGACTTATGTTAATCGATTTACATTTGACTACAAAGCTATATTTATAGGATATTTCTTGCAAGATCTTGGAGATTGACGTAAGAGACACAGATGTATAACCTATTAAATTTTAAGAGTTATTTACACTAACAGAAATAATTTCTCGATGCAATAAATGCCAAATGTACGTAGGAAGTAAACTTATGTTAAATTTTACTTGTGATAAACTGTATTTCTATTTGTAAGAAAATTGTAAATCATTATTATTTAAGACCTTCTTCAGAAGTTCATGGGGTCCGCAGTGGCCGCGCGATCGCTGGGACCGTGGGTTCGAATCCCACTCAAGCCATGGATGTTTGTCCGCGTTTTTATGTGTTGTGCTGTCCTGTGTACAGGTAGAGGCCTTGCGACGGGCCGATCCCTCGTCCAAGGAGTCCTACCAAAATGTCTATAGATCAAACCAACGAAAAGTTGGGACCCGCAGTGCTCAGGCACTTGAAGAACGGGTCGTTCCCTGTATCCCTGTTGAGAAGTTCATAATCATTCACCTGACAAACCTTTTCTTCTTTTATGGAAACCGACGATTCATTAACGCGTTTACAGGCGTTAAGAAATGAATCCTACGCTGAACCAAGCAAATCCAATCACCAACCTCACGTCCTATCCCCTTAAGAACCATTTTAATTCTGTCCTCCATTATTATTATTACAGATGCTTGTGTTGGTCGCCGTGATGGCTCTGGCAACAGTAACAAGGGCAGGGGTTGCTCCTTTGGCAGCTGCGGCCCTGCCGTACGCAGTTGCACCCTTCGGAAGTTCATACACCGCCCATTCAATCAACCACGCACTCGCCGCCCCCGTTGCTGTCCCTGCTGCCGCCCCCCTGGTTGCCGCTCCCGCAGTCTATGCGCCGCAAGTTGCCGCCCCCGCAGTCTATGCGCCGCATGTTGCCGCCCCCGCTCTCTATTCACCCCATGCCGCCGCCTACATAGCCGGTTAGAAATGTACGCCTCCATCAGTCAACTTACAAGAATTGGCAAGATTTCTGTGATAAGCATACGACCAGACGAAGGATACAAATTCGTGGGTTTATTGTTATATAAAAATTCGATGATTTGTTTTAAAAAACTTCTAAACTTTCTGGTTCAGATGTACAAACAAAATATACATTTTTATCTTATAATGAAAACGTTTTACCGGAAGAAATAAAGTCTGACGATAAGAAAACTTGTAATTTATTAAACTTCCTTAATTTTATCTTGTGAAGTTACCAAGAAAAACTACAATAAACAAGCGTATCGCACTCTTTTTTGTAAGTTCGACTTTCCAAGTTTTCCCGTATTCTTTTCTCACAGAATGTTTCCTGTTTAACTTACAAACTTTTAAAATTTAATTGATAAATGCCAGGAGAAGTGAACTTAAATGTAACGACTATATAAATATTAACGGCGTATCATATCTGCAGGGGGTACAATGAACCCTGGCTCACATAAACGAAGATTTTTTATTATTTATCTCGAAAGTTGTAAGAGCTCTGCCCTTTTGAAATCATCCATCACTTTAACGCCATCTTTTGTTTTTTAAGCAACTGATGAGAGTGCCTCGTCTTCTCAGGCAGAATATTCATTACGAACGCAGCTTCAGTAATAAGTTCAAAGCAGACTGGTCTCAGAACTGAGCTCACCTTGGAAAGTTATTGAAGCGAATCCAATAGATAAATCTACTGTTGAAACAACAATAGCAACATTGACCACCACAAACACTACCAAAATTATTTTTTTTTTGTTAAATACAGAATTGTTATTTTTCGGTGAAAATATAAATATCATACAGGGAGAAAAAACACAAGTCAATTAGATGCTAATAAGCCAGGTGGTCTTTCAGGCGGAAAAATCTAACGATAAGTACAATGTCCCAAACAGCAAGACCACTCTCTACGTCAACGATGAACTTCTCTGAATCATACGTTTCCATTTTTTAACTGGACACAAAATATTTTTGGAAAATATGTGTCCTCCATTGGTGTAGACACGGCGTGACAAAGCAGCGGCCCTTTTCGATGTCTGTAACCCGAATCAGTTCTCGAAATATGAATTATATAAGGCCCAAATTGGCCCAGTATGAATTCAAATGCATGCCAAATATCTACATGTGTACTGCTGTTTTACACTCAGTTAAATAAATGGAATTGTGTTTCAATTAACTTTACATTTGTGTATGGAAAAAAAAGTCACGGTGGTCTAGCGGTTAGAACGCTGGCCTTGTAATCCTAGGGTCTCGGGTTCGATTCCCGGCGGTGACCGAATTTATAACTTGTGTTGGGCAAGGCCGTGGTCTAGGCAACACGGAGTTTTCCTCCGTGGCATCCCAACAATTACTCCATTCACACACAGAAGAAGGCAATGGCAAACCACTTCTGGATCATCTGCCAAGAACGTATATGAACAGGTCCCAGTCCGAGAAAAGGATGGAAGGATCCTGTTCATACGGACCTGTCGTCAGACAGAACACTAAATAAAAAAAAATATGGAAAAAAAATCCTAAGCTTAAGTTCAGAATTAGAAAAAAATAGATGGTTATGAATATCCCCACCCATGTGATGGTCCCACTAACAGGGCCTTTATTTAAGTGGCCCTTGGTAGACAATGTGTAGACTATTTTAGTTTTCGAAATATCGATCCAACTTAAGAGTACAGAAGCAAATCACCAACATTCTTCAACGTTTCTACGGGCAATTAGCGAGTGGCAAGTACTTCAGCGCCTTGCGACAGACTGAAAGACCCCGAACCGTGGCTAATACAGCGTGGCTGTCTCCCTCTGAGTACTGCAGAAAATTGAAAGCAGAGCAAGGTTAATGTGGTGTTGAAATACGAAGAAAATTAGTTCAGCATGACTAACTTTAAGCCTTGTCATATCTATGATCTGATACTACCTGACAAGGATTTATGAACACAGGTTTGTGGCCAAGCCGATTGTAGGGATTACATAACTAAACAATACAGGAACTTCCTTGTAACTCCAAGAAACAGATATATTCTTGAGATGATGATAGTCGCTTAGCTGGTCAAGAAATTATCCGACCTTTATAGAACCCCAAGTTTCACTACTGAATCCACAGGAACAGTTAATAGGTTACACATTTTTCTCTATCTTGTCAGTGTCTTTGTCTAAGCTCCAAACATTCTTCTAATCACGTTGTTCTAACTCTCGCTTTAGCACGTTTTACGTCACGATGAAAGACTCAGTATTACACCCATACAAAACAACAGGGACATTTCATTTCTAAGCAAGATTTCATGATTTCAAGTACGAAGACTTCTGTCTTATGGATTGTAGTGCCGTGTAGTCTGTTAGAAGTTTATCAACGTTTCAGATGTATTTGCTGCCTCCATCATCAAGGCAACGACTTTTGAACTTTTGAATCTTTAGGATTTTAAACAGGAGGCGGGAAGAAAAATATTCAGAACTGCACGGTAATAATAATTTTCAGAATACCCTTAACTTCGTGGATGTAATTGATTTATTATAAAATAAGGAAAGTAGTCTACAAATATTTAAACCTGTAAAGTCTTACTTTAAAGTTTTACTGCGACGACGGAAATTGTGACCAACAGCTTTCATGTTACACGATTACACATTAAGTTTTAACTACAAATTTAAACAAAGCAGGTTTGTGCTTCTGAAGTTGTGACTGGAATCGTCGAACAAAGTACCTATTGTAAATCAATCACTAGCTTACGAATACCAAAAGAAGACAAAAGTTTCTAGATCAACCACAACCACTCCCACAGAAAGACCTTCTTACTCCCTTCTATGCGGTTATTGCTTCGAAATTATTACTTCAACTTGCCAGTTATTGGCAAACTCTTAATTAAAGTTTAAATGATTCTTTCAAGGTTTCGTAACATCACAAATCTAAATGATTAATCTGCGAGCTTGACCTTCACCACAAGCCATTTCAAATGAGATGTCTTATCTGAAAACATCGGGCCAGTCACACTATAATTTACAGCTGGCATCATGGGTTTATATCTTTATCAATATAATGTTATTTGAGACAGACGGAAGGACATACGCACTTACAACCCTAACAGGGTTCAGAAAAAAACGAAATTTGGTGATGATTAAAGCGGTTATAGGTCTCGGAATTAGAAACTAAACTCGATGGAGTAGAGTTATTCTTAGAAGCTGCTAATTTTATTTGGTCGACAAATGCCTTGCCTTTTATGTAACCTGAACGTTAATTACCTTGTTCACAAAAACCAGCCACTGTACGTTACTCTAAGGCAATCTGATCCAACCCACATCCTCACACTCATTGTTGTTAAGATCGATTTAAATTTTTACTCCCACCACGCATAGGTAACCTAAATTATTCCTTTCTTAAATATATTCCGATTAAACTTATCAATACATTTCGCATACTACTCATCCATGCTGCATGTTTCAACAATCGGAAGCTTCTTTAATTGTTTGTCCGAATAACATTCTGTGAATGATAACAATGGTTATTGTCGTGATGATAACTGTGACAAATGCTAATATCACTTTCTGATACAACAGGAACAATACGCCGAAAAGAAATACTAATGTCTCCAGAGTTACTTACGTACACATCCAGTTTTGAAAAGGAATAAGTTACAAATTAGACAAGATATATTTTTAGAATGGCTAGTCTTCGTGTTCCCTGCAACTACACTCAAAATGTTTTACTCTTTCATGTGTTGGATTTTGTGATGAAAAATAACAGCATGTAACAGTATGAATTTTTGGTCTTTACGCAACAATTAATAAAAAAATATTAATTATTTACTTAACAACGCCTTTTCAGTTTGTTATTAGATGATGGGAGCGTAAAATAATACGATGATTAATGAATTGAAAATTGCGTAGGAACAAGCGATTGTGTCCTGTTTCAAGGTATTTATTCCAGTGTTTGCCTAGAGAGAAAAGGTCAGTCAAGGCAGTTGGTCTCCAGGCCGAGATTTGAACCAGGGACTCCCTAATACAAGGCAGGAGCACAAACCATTTTATTGCGACGTACAGCAAACCACTGTAAGTACAGACAACAAACACTCGTAAAGGTAGCCTTGGAGGGAAACCATAAAAGTTCTTAAATTACACGTCAAATATATCAGTTTCCTTCGTAAACTGTATATCACCAGAATGATCAAATATAGAGCAAACATGCACAAAACACATTGGCGAGATGAGAAATTCGCACAATGTCTTAGTCCGATAAACTAAAGAGAAGAGGTAACTGCAAGACCTAGGAGTAGATGGGAGATTAATTTGTCCCTGTATAGAGCAAATAGATTTGTAAGTCAGCGTGGCTCTAGACAGCGGATGTTCGGTCGAGTTCAGAGCAAGGCCACAAGAAGGTTTCGAACTAATTACAGACAGACTAATTACAGACTTAACCGAAACTCTGTTATAGAACTAATCGACTAATTGACATTCAGTGCAGAAATAGGGAAACACAATTCTGAGTGGTTCAATATTCCTTTTTTAATGGTTACCACATCTGTCTCGTATTCGAGAGTCCAATTCTCGGACCGAAGAAGGCCTATTCTTTGTTCTTCCCGTCACAATTTTTAACAGCAGTCTACAATAAGCTTACGTTAATCAGCGACGAACGCTTCCTTCTAGAACCGTCAGAATTTACCTTTCAGCCATACATTATAAAACTATAAAGATAGACTCTAAAATTTTATCTACGAAAGAGTTATTAAATAAACTATAAATGTAACAAGTTAAAGAAATATATAAAATCGACTTTAGGATCAGTTTCTTGGGTATAAATTAACTCGATTTAACTCTACGTAACTAATCAATGTTGGGTCTAAATTAATTCGATTTAACTCTACGTAACTAATCAATTAATAAAAATTCATCATCTCTTATGGAACTCGAAGTTACACCTCTACGTTAAATTTGTCTCTATCTAGAACTGAGTACAAGCTTTTGAAGTAATCGAGGTTAATACGGGCCACATGAGGAACTGATATTTAACGTTCCATTCTATTGCAGCAATGTTTAATGGCGACAACGAAATTCTTGAGAAGCTAATAGTCGTTCAAATGATCAAGAAATTTCCCGACTTTTAAGAAACCAAAAGGTTCATTTCCGTTTCAAGAATCCGCCCAGTGTGAGCCACTTGAATTCAATCCTCGTCATTAAACGAGCATTTTTTTAAGATCCTTTAAAATATTATTCAGCCATCTGCG